TTGGCCCACTTGGGGTTTAAAGAGCAGGTGGAAGGTGACTGCTGAGATGGCACTGGAGCATCTTAAGAGACGCACACAAATCCGGATGAGATTACTGGAAAGAGGAGAGAATTGCTGACATTACTGTTGTGCGCACACATATCCCTTTCTCCAGCTATGCCTCATTGGGAGAAACAGCCCCCCCCCCCCCCTCAGACTCAAATGTAGCACGCTCACATTTATTCCTACGAGTTATTTAAATAAAAAATGCAGAATAATGAGGGTCAGCCCATAGAGTTTATTTCTACGTGATTTAACATCTCTCTCTGCCATATCAGTCATTTTCCTAAGCCCTTCGTTTGGGAGGTTTTGCCCACATTGTTTTCCAGACCCTGCTACTGTGAGGGCGGAGATATAACCACACTTATTGTTAGAGGGATGTTGTTATTATATTATCTAGATCAGGGGTAGGCAACCTATGGCATGTGTGCCGAAGGTGGCACGTGAGCTGATTTTCAGTGGCACTCACACTGCCCGGGTCCTGGCCACTGATCTGGGGGGCTCTGCATTTTAATTTAATTTTAAATGAAGCTTCTTAAACACTTTAAAAAACCTTATTTACTTTACATACAACAATAGTTTAGTTGTATATTATAGACTTATAGAAAGAGACCTTCTAAAAACGTTAAAATGTATTACTGGCACGCAAAACCTTAAATTAGAGTGAATAAATGAAGACTCGGCACACCACTTCTGAAAGGTTGCCGACCCCTGATCTAGATAAACTTTAAAAAGAAATCAAATAACGTTTAGTGTGGACAAGTTTGTGTGTGGTCGGAATGGCAGGGAGAGAAGGGCGGAATCTGATGAACGGGGATTAGTGGCATGGAAAGTATTCCTACAATTGTGCCAATAGATTTAGGCTATGAATGACTCCGTTTGGTGAAAAATAAAGATTCTGTTGCATAGACAGATGAAGAATCCCAGTTCCCTAATTTCTTATCTATGATGGGCTGATAGATATTTTCCTTTTACATAACGTTAACTGGCAAGTCTCGATAGCAAGTCTTCTAACAAGACTTGGAATCTAAAGTCTGAACTTGTTAAAAAAATAAATTCCTACACAGCAGTTCCTTATAATCTTGCTGAAGAAATAAAAAGTAGCCGGAATCAGGTCAATTTTCACAAATCTGTTCTGCCCATAATTTTTTCAAACAAGAGGGAGGGTATGTTCATTAGTGAGGACAAATACGTCAAAAAAGAAGCAGAATTTATACAAAAAGGACATAGCAGCACCATATATAAAACTAAGAACAATGTGGATGTAACAAGGAAGAGGCACCTAATCAACGCACAGCCAGACTTCCATTCATTAGGAAATAAATTTAAATACTGCTGCTGCTAAAGTATCAACATTCCTAGGCACAATTCCTAGGTGCAACTGACCTAATTAACATATTCAGTTTATATTAACATTGTTATTTGGATTATTACTACAAGGATTATGTGCATCCAGGGCTGTAGTTGTAGCCAGATGGACAATAACCAGCTTTGCAATGCTGCACGTGTATTTTCACTAATACATTTCACGTGCAACAAGTTGGAATCCTACACAGGCATAGACCATCTGCTTCCATACGTAAGAGAGGTTCAGCATAAGCTCCAGCTTGCGTAAGCATCACAGAAAAACATAGCCAAACTGTATCTGAAAACAGATGATTATGAAGCATTGCTCTGAGTTACGTGTGGACTCTTCAGTATATACAGTCCAGGTATGTAATTAATATTACCTTGCAGACATTGCGCACTGCAGGAAGAGAAGTACTGTAGGATTAAATAATAAACAGAGCCTTTTTCTCAAAATAGGTGCAACTTCCATTATTGTCAATGGTAGTCAGGTATGTATATGGGAAAATAGGGCATTTTGTTAGCTTTTCCTAAAGGAAGATTTTTAAAAGTCACCTTTATGGATTAAATGAGGGTTAATGCAATCCCTAAAGCCACCATGAACATAACAATTGGCGTTCTGACATCTGTCTGAAATATTTGCTATACTGGATTTGCCAAAACATAGGCTTGTTTACACACAAAAGTTAATCCACTTTAACTATACTGGTATAGTTAAAGCAGTACAATCCCCCTAGTATGGATGCAGTCATACCCATATAAAAGTGCTTTATACCAGTATAGCCATTTCCATACAAGGAGAATAAAATATACTGGTAGAACTGTATCCACAGCAGGAGTTGTACTGGTATAACTATTTTTATAAAAAAAAAATTCACTACCACCACCCATGAAAATAATTATACTGGTACAAAAATTGTTTGTACATCAGACCTAAGAAGTGGCGACTACTAGAGACACACTAGATCAGGGGTTGGCAACGTTCGGCACGCGGCTCGCCAGGGTAAGCACCCTGGCGGGCCGGGCCAGTTTATTTACCTGCTGACGTGGCAGGTTCGGCCGATCGCGGCCCCCACTGGCTGCGGTTCGCCGTCCCAGGCCAATGGGGGC